GCATAAATGATGGTTTTGAGCGTAAATTGCGTAACTTGAATTTGGAAACTTTGAGTTACCTGAGTTTAGAAGTTCTGGAAAGCTACGAAGCAGAGCTACAATGTTCATGTTTTGGGTTTTTCCTAATTCTAACTGGAAGAGGGTGAAAACTTGGCTTGAAGTTGTGAATAGCATGTTGCAAATTGAAGAAAACGTATTTGGACATGCTTCAGTATATTGGCCATAACGTGAGATGTAGACCTCAGATTGGGTTGATTTTTGAATGAGTAGAAAGATAATTGAAATGGATATAAAATTGTACAAATATTCCATATTCAAACATTATAGTGCTCAAATGTGGCCCAAATATCATCACCACAGCAAAGAAAAAGATTCGTTGCGGCAAAACTCCATCATATGCGAAAAAAATAAAACGACGTGTTTTCGCTCACTAAGGCTTCATCCTTAAGTGAGAGGGGTATAAATTGACATGAAAAGGAAGGGGAAAGGGTCTTGGTGTTAGTTATCAATGAACAATGGCAGCGGAAAAACAAAAAGTTTTGCCCATCGATTACTCTGATTTCGCCTTGATCAAGGTCTGATATATACATATTTTACATGCTTAAATTGAAATAACATAAATCCATACAAATATTCGATTATACCTGTGATTGAAGGCTCCATCAATGTCTCTAAATGTGATTTGCTGCCGATTCGCGAATGGAATTGAATTCACGTCTTCCACATGAAGACAATGCGCCAATGACCGAGAATTAATTTTGCTAGAATTAATTCTTGGCTTTAAGGAGTATGGATTTTGGAAGATTGAGTGTAGAGAAAAGAAGAGAGAAATTTTCTCTTCAGAAACCTCTCACCCACGGCAAAAATGAATTAGGTTAGTAAAACCTAATTTTTCTTGCTTTAAATAATAAAGCAAATATCCATTTCGCCCCCAAAGTTTAGAAACAACCCAAACTTAGGTAGAATTACCTATTAACCCTTATTTAATTATTTAGTTAAATATTAATATAAATATAAATATTAACTATAATAATTAAATTTATAATTTTGCTAAATTACTCTATTAATAAAATTGGACATAGGCTACAACCTCAGTAATTTTAATTACAAAACAAAATTACCAATGTGCCCATTCATCTAAAAGATGAATATACCTTTCCAAAATCTATCATCCTTAAACTGTCTTCTAAGTGTATGACCTATAGGCTCCTTATCATATCGGTAATGAGTAGTATTACGATTGACACCAATCAATCGTCTCACTACAAACAGACTAGGATTGGCCCCTAGCAAGGCATCATGGCCACTAGATAGATTCGGATTCAGTGAAATAGCTACCTATCAAGGATATGGTTACCGTGCAATCAAATCCTTTCATCATCTGTTACCTCATTGAGGCTGAGGTACAAAAATAGTGTCAACCTTAGTTATCCTTGATATCTTTACATTCAGTTACTAGACCAATGACCGGAATAATAAATTGGATTGAGCAATAACTCAATCCCACTGTGGCCACAACTTTAGTGTCACTACCATTCACCGAATTGTGCCGTGAGATAACTTCGTCTGTACCTAGGAGTGATGAATCCTTTGTTGATCCACCATAGTCTTGATACACTCCTCGATGTAGCCAATCAGTACCATATTGATAGCTTTAAATAGAACTACGTTGGGCTGGTGTCAAACTACACCAATCGGTGCATAAGGTGCTCCAGTGATCTCAAGTCTAAGGATCACATGCACCACCATTCGTTAGATGATTTATTCCATAAACACTTGGGTTACCATCTATATGGAATCCTCTAGTGGGTCAATCTAGTGAACTTGCCTACATCAAGTACCCATATCCTGCACCAGGTTGTTGGCAAACAACCTTGACAAATGAGATCAGTCACTACCTTTTGACAGGGTCATTCAACATTATGATTGCCTTACCGTATTATTTATGTCCTTGGTCAAAATAATACTAGAGCTATAGATATTTCTAGAATGGCCACCATATGTGATCATAAAGTTCTCACTATCAAGATTTGAAACACTTGATACCCTCGTCACGGTTCTACCATCCTAAGGACATATATCAATAATACTATTATGATTTACACAATATAGAATAAAATGCCTTTTATTGATTAATGAACATTATTAAAAAGAGTCAATTTTACAATAATTGATTGGCTCTAGGAAACCTACTCTAATAATCTCTCACTTGCACTATAGCCAATCATTCATGTATATAATACCAAATGACCTTAAGTGCTTTTCATGCTTCTGTTGTGACAAAGGCTTCATCAGTGAATCGACGAGATTGTCATCAGTATGCGGTTTACTGATCTGCACATCTTTCATGTCAACCATTTCTCTGATGAGATGAAATTGTCTGAGTATGTGTTTGGACTTTTGGTGAGACCGTGGTTCCTTTGCTTGAGCTCTTGCTCAATTGTTGTGGCAATAGATATCTATTGGATCAACAATCATGGAGACCACACCAAGTTTGGTGATGAACTTCTTAATCCAGACCGCCTCCTTGGTCAAATCGGATAATGCGATATACTTAGGCCCCATTGTAGAGTCCGCTACAGTGCTTGGCTTGGAGCTCTTCCAGCTAACCGCACCCCCATTGACCCCAGATTGTGAATGATAATCATCTTTATCCATTTGGAAACTAGCATCACTATATCCTCTTACAGTGAGCTCATCTTCCCCTCCATAAATCAAGAACATACCCTTAGTCCTTTTCAGGTACTTAAGGATGTTCTTGATAGCTATTTAGTGACACTCACCTAGATTTGATGACAGTCAGAAAATGCATCTTTTTAGTGTTTATTTGTTAGCATTTAAGATTGATTTAGGGCTGGATTTATGCCTTAATAATTCTTAAGCGTCATTCTTAATACATTGATTTATTTTGATGCATTTTTAGGTATTTTGGACTTAAAATAGATGGAAAGGCTAATAATGAGGAAAGCACGAAGATTCTATGCATATCGGATTTAAGGAATGGTTTCGGAAGAATAAAACGAAGAAAATTTCTAGTTTGCGCTGCGACGTGGACATGATTTTCTGGTTTTTCATGGAGTTAGATTTCTCGATTGCAAAAGTGTTCTTTAGAGAAATTAAAGTAGGTGAATCAAGCTTTTCAGGAAGGTATTATGGGCAAGAATCCGAGTTCGTTTGGGTTCTCGGTAGTTGTTCCAAAATCGGACCTAGAATTCTAGTTGCGGAAGGATTTCCTGGCTGAGTATTGAATATTCGAATGGGCCTAACTGGAGCGTCAGATATCGAAAGTGGGTGATTCAAAGCCTAGATTCATCTACACATCTAGGACTACAATTTTTATGAAGTGACCAAGCCTAGAAAATATCTTTTTCACTGCAAGAATCCTGGTGCAAGCTGAAGACGAATTCTGTTTTCCATATCTGATAAGATTTTGACAAATCTGGAAGTCTATCTTTTAGGAAACGTCTAAGAAAGATTTTTCATGAGTCCTGGGGGAGAATTAAGGAAAACATATGTTATTTATTGAGGAGTGTTAGGTTAACCAGGGGGGAGACGGCAGTGAAGTTTTGTTAGAGAGAGCTTCCGTGTTTTCCTTCCAAAAGAATGAACTCCACGTCCAACTAAACTCCAAGAAGGCAAAAGGATGAGCTTCTAGGTGTAGTTGTTCTTGTTTCTATCTTTGACTCAGCTGTATGGATTGATTATTAAACATTGCTTATTAATTTACTCTTTGATTAAATAAAAAGGATTTGAATTTAATTGACAACTTTATTTATCTTCTTCTTCTCTTAGAATTTCTTAATCTGGTGATTGCAATCTTCTTCTCCATATAAGTCTAGTCAAGCTTTCCTTATATAAAAGTTGTTAGATGCAATTGATTCTGGTAGATTTATCTTATAGAATTGTCCATTACTACAGTATTATTATTAAATATATTGTTGCTTCTTGATAATTCATGAGATAGACTTTGCGTGTTTGAGTTGGAGTTAAAGAGTAATTAGTGGCAATCACATTAGGATATTCATGTGCTTTGATTGGATATCTACCAATTGCTGACTTGGGATGTGAAATTAGTAATTGAGATTAAATAATTGAATCTAGATGGGAATAAGCAACAAACTTAGGAAGGATTCCTGGAACCTCGTCATTTCTCTTATTGAATTCTTCAACATACTTTCACAATTTCATTGATAAAACTCAGATTTTTCTCATTAGAACCTTACTGTTTAGAATCATAGTTTACATTTTCTCTTGTAGTTTGTATTCTTCGTGGGATCGACACCTCAGCTATATACAATAATTGTGTGTTAGTTTGAGCGTAATCAAATTTTGGCGCCGTTGCCGGGGAGTGCGCTTAATTACAAAAAAAGATTGGCGGCTTTGAGACAAGACAGTAATATTGTTCTTTGCTTTTTGTTTTAATTTATTTTAATTTTATTCTGTTTTTCCTCTTTCCTTTAGTTCCTTTGGTGTATGCGTAGACTTAGAGACAATCGAGGTAGATTCATTAAAAGACCTGAGATAGAGTTACCTTCTCCTTCCATGTCTGATAGTGAAAGTTCACCTAGATCAAATCATAGTGCTCACTCAAACGAGGATTTAAGGAATTTTAATACATGGCCGATAATAACAATGAGAATATGGTTAGAACACTTAGGGATTATTTGCAACCTAGCCGAACGGCCACACCATCTTGTATCATGTTCCCCCCTAATGTTCAATTACCTGAGTTTAAGCCGGGTATGATTCAATTGCTACCAACTTTCCATGGATTAGAGAATGCAAACCCTTATGTCCACATTAGGGAATTTGAGGAAGTAGTAGCAACCTTCCAAAATAGGGCTGACACGATAGATACTGTCAAACTTAGGTTTTTCCCTTTTTCTCTTAAGGATAATGCTAAGTTTTAGTTGTATTCATTAAGGCCTCGGTCTATAGGTAGTTGGGATGAGATGACACAAGCCTTCTTCCAAAAATATTTTCCAGCCCATAAGACCAATAACCTCAAGAGACAAATCTCAAACTTTGCACAAAAAGAGAGTGAAACCTTATACCAAGTTTGGGAATGTTACAAAGATCTTTTGAACTCTTGTCCACACCACGGGTTTGAAAGTTGGCAGGTGGTTAGTTACTTCTATGATGGACTTCTAAGCAGGGAGAGACAATTTGTAGAAACCATGTGTAATGGAGATTTTCTCCACAAAGATCCCGATGTAGCCATAGACTTTCTAGATGATTTATCGGAAAAAGCCCACACTTGGACGGGACCCAATGCTTTAGAAAGTACTAACAGAAACCAAACTGCTGTAATTTATCAACTTAGGGAGGAGGATAGTCTTAAAGCCTGTTTAGAGGTTTTGAAAACCAAGGATGTTAGAGCCCCCGAACCAGTTGTTAGGGTAGAGTCCCATGAACCTTGTTTTATGTGTAATAGAGTAGATCATATACCTAGGGATTGTCAAACCTATTTTGAGTTGAGAGAGATGAAGGAAGAGTGTAATACTTTAGGTATACCCTTTAGGAAAACATACTCGCCCTACTCTAACACCTTCACTCTCGGTTGGAAGAATCATCATAACTTTAGTTGTAGAACCGATACACAACCCTCTACCCAATCTAATACCCAATGGAGACCGGAACCAATTTCTCCTAATGCACCACAATCTTTACCTTTGGAAGATGTTTTTAAGTCATTTATGCAGGCACATGCCCAAAATGTGGAACAGCAAGGCAAGATAAACCAACGGTTTCTAAAGGAGCAACAAGGGGTCAACGAGGAACAAAAGGTGATAAAGAGTCAACTCACCAAGTTGACAAATTTATTGACGGTTCAAGAACAAGGTCATTTTCAATCACAGCCACAACCTAATCCAAGGGGACAACATATGGCACAAACCTCCAATGTCGACAATCAAAATGTTAAAGAGGTTAATGCCATGATTACTCGCAGCGGTAAGGAAATTGATGGACCCACTTCACCATCAAACTTGATTCCTAACACCATGAGTAGCAAGGCTGAAGCTCCCAAGGATCAAGGTGCCCCTAGTGATTCCCGAGCACTCCTTAAACCTAAGGAGAGAAATTCGGCATTAAAAGGTGAGATACTTGACCAACTTAAGCAAGTTAAAATTAACCTTCCTTTTCTTCATGTCATAAAACAGGTTCCGAGTTATGCTAAAGTTATCAAGGATCTATGCACACACAAGAGGAGGCAAAATGTGAAGAAGACGGCGTTCTTAATGAAACAAGCAAGTGTGGTACTTGATAGCAAGACACCGCCCAAGTATAAAGATCCAGGCTACCCTACAGTAGCTTGCCAAATTGGAAACAAAGCGTGTGGTCAAGCATTACTAGATTTAGGGGCAAGTGTGAATCTTATGCCCTACTCCATTAACGTGCAACTTAGCCTAGGTGAGATTAAACCGACTTCTGTGACACTTCAACTAGCGGATGAATTGGTAAGAAAACCAAAAGGTATTGTGTAAGATGTTTTAGTGCAGATTGAGAAATTCTATTATCCCGTTGATTTTTTGGTGCTAGATACTATTTCCATTGTGAATATGAAGTCAAAAACTCCATTGATACTTGGAAGACCATTCCTTGCCACTACCAATGCCCTCATAAATTGTAGGAATGGTCTAATGACACTATCATTTGGAAATATGACTCTAGAGGTGAATGTTTTTCGAGTCTCAAGGTAGCCACATGAAGAGGATGAGTGTTTCGACACTTACACGATCGAAGACCTTATTTTGGAGGATGAGTATATTAAAGATAATTCAAATCCTTGGGAATTCCTTCTTAAAGATTTTAATGTAGATGATTCTTATTCCCATGCCGTTAATGTTGTTGATGTCTTTGATAAGTCGCAGGGATTTATTAAGAAATCATGGCAGCCATGATTTAAGGAGTTGCCTAAGGAGAGAGAGCCACCCAAACCATCCTCCGAAGCCACCCAAACCATCCAACGCTAAATCTAGCTCTACTGCCCAAAGGACTCAAACATGCCTTTTTAGGCCCAGGTGATACCTTTCCGGTTATTATTTCTTCTGAACTTAGTGATGAGCAATGTGATAAATTGTTGAATTTGTTAAGAAAGCATAAATTTGCACTAGGTTGGACTATAGCCGACATAAAAGGTATCAACCTTTTAATTTGTTCCCATAGGATCTATCTAGAAGAAGGAGCTAACCCTCATACAGACCCACAAAGAAGACTAAATTCAACTATGAAAGTGGTAGTTAAGAAAGAAGTCATTAAACTATTAGACGCGGGAATCATTTACTCGATATTCGATAGTAAGTGGATTAGTCCAACTCAAGTAGTCCCTAAGAAAGCCGAGGTAACTGTGGTAGAAAATGAAGCGGGGTATTAGTACCAACTAAGGTAGTGACTGGGTGGCGTATGTGCATTGACTATAGGAAACTTAATTCAGCTACTCGGAAAGACCATTTTCCCCTCCCATTTATTGACCAAATCTTAGAGCATGTAGCTGGTCATCATTTCTATTGCTTTTTAGATGGGTATTCAGGGTACTACCAAATAGAGATTGCCTTAGAGGATCAAGAGAAGACCACCTTTACTTGTCCTTTTGGTACCTTCTCTTTTCGTAGAATGCCATTTGGTTTGTGTAATGCACCAACTACTTTTCAAAGATGCATGATGAGTATTTTTAGTGACATGGTTGAAAAATGTATGGAAGTGTTTATGGATGATGTAATCGTGTTTGGAACTTCTTTTGATTCATGTTTATCTAATCTGGAAAATGTGTTGTGTAGGTGTGAAGAAAAAGGGCTTGTGCTGAATTGGGAGAAGTGCCATTTTATGGTGTCCTCCGGAATAGTGTTGGGCCATATAGTGTCCGAAAAGGGAGTAGAAGTGGATAAATCGAAAATTGAAACAATCTCTAAATTATCGACTCCTAGGAACATTAAAGATGTTAGATCTTTTCTAGGACATTCTGGGTTTTATAGGAGGTTTATTCAAAATTTTAGTGCTATCTCTAGACCATTATGTAACCTTTTGTTGAAGGACACTGAGTTTAAGTGGAGCCTCGAATGTGAGAAAGCCTTTAGGACACTTGTTTCTAAGCTTACAACCGCCCCCATTATGCAATCACCCGATTTTTCCTTGCCTTTTGAGATTATGTGTGATGCTAGTGATTATGCTATAGGGGCTGTTTTAGGACAAAGAAGGGAAGGAAAACCATTTGTAATTTACTATGCTAGTAGAACCTTGAATCATTCTCAAATGATGTATACCACAACCGAGAAAGAGTTACTAGCCGTAGTATTTGCTTTGGACAAATTTCGCTCTTATTTAATTGGTTCACCTATCCTTATATTCACAGATCATTCCGCTCTTAAATTTCTTTTCTCAAAAACGGATGCTAAGGCTCGTTTGATACGTTGGATTTTGCTTTTGCAGGAATTCGACTTGACTATCAAGGACAAGAAGGGGGTAGAAAATGTTGTGGCGGACCACTTATCTCGTTTGGAATTCAAGAATGATACCGATACTTTGCCCATTCGAGAAGCCTTTCCAGATGAGAATTTATTTGCCGTCCTTTCTCACACGTCGTGGTATGCCGACATTGCAAATTACTTGGTTTCCGGTCAAGTTCCATCTACATGGAGTGCACAAGATAAGCGTAAGATTTTGGCTGAGGTAAAAATGTTTTATTGGAATGATCCTTATCTTTTAAAATATTGCCCTGATCAAATAATAAGAAGATGCATTCCGGATATAGAGATTGATAATGTGTTAAATTTTTGTCATACTTATGCTTGTGGTGGTCATTTTTCTATTAAAAAGACAACAGCAAAAATTTTGCAATGTGGTTTTTATTGGCCTACTTTGTTCAAGGATACTAATGAGTTTTGTCATTCATGTGAAAGATGTCAAAAGCTGGGTTCATGAACTCGCGTCATATGATGCCTCTCAATCCGATCTTAGTGGTGGAAATCTTTGATTGTTGGGGGATCGATTTTATGGGACCATTCCTACCTTCTTTTGGATATCTTTACATTTTGCTTGCTGTTGATTATGTTTCTAAATGGGTTGAAGCCATACCTTGCTGTACTAATGATAATAAAGTTGTTGTTAAATTTCTCAAAGATCATATTTTATCTAGGTAAGGTACTCCACGTGTTATAATCAGTGATCAAGGGTCACATTTTTGTAACCGTTCTTTTAAGGCTTTGATGCGCAGGTATGGAGTCACCCATAAGGTTTCTACAGCTTACCACCCACAAACTAATGGCCAAGCGGAACTTGCGAATAGGGAGATTAAGCAAATACTTGAAAAAACAGTAAGTCCAAATCGAAAAGATTGGTCGTTGCGCCTATCGGATGCACTTTGGGCGTACCAAACAGCATACAAGACGGTTCTTAGAGCATCTCCTTATCGATTGGTATTCGGCAAAGCATGTCACTTACAGGTAGAACTAGAGCATAAAGCATTGTGGGCTATCCGAAATTTTAATTATGACTTGACAACCTCTGGTGAAGAAAGGAAATTGCAACTTTGTGAGCTTGCGGAGTTGAGAGATGATGCATATGATAATGCTAAGGACTTAAAGTCAAGAATGAAGGCAGTGCATGATAAGAAAATACTCCGGAAGAATTTTGAACAAGGAAATCGAGTGTTTCTTTATGATTCTCGGTTACAGTTCCATCCAGGAAAATTATGATCACGATGGACAGGACCTTATATGGTGAAGAGTGTTTTTTCGAATGGAGTAGTAGAAGTTGAAGATCCTTTCGATGCTCATATATTTCGAGTTAATGGCCAAAGGTTAAAGCTCTACTTGGAACATGAACGTGTTGAAGATAGGCCCGAAGAGATCTCTTTGGAGCCCCCGGTTTACCCCTCTTAATCGGGTATTTTCGTTCCTTGTATATTAATTTTGTTGAGTTTTTGTTTTTATTCAGTTTTGATTAATTTAAGTTGTTTTTATTTATTTTTGGGTTTTGATTAATATCTTAACGTTACCCTGTAGTTTCCATTCTTTTTATTTCCTTTGTTCTATGATTAGAGATTGAAATTCCAAAAGAGGACCAAACTGGAGTTTGCATGGTCCTGCACATGCAGTTTTCGGCCTTCTC